TATTGGGAATTTCCACTGCAGTTTATAGCCATATTGTCGGGAGAAGGGTGTTGGACCATGGGTTTGACTGGCAGGAGGATACCTCGTATAGTATCGCAGGTGCGAAACCAAGGACTTTTGTTTATATAGCCGACTACTAGACAAAGTAGATGCTCACTAGCCCATTCAGGTGCCAATCGATTCAAGGTGGGGCGCCATTTGTGATGACTTTCCTCGGCATATTGGAGTAAACACCTTTGTCGGATATCCTCATATTATGCATCTAGGTCGGTTCTTTTTTTTCCCCCCCTGGGAACCGAACGCCCCATCTCCAGGGTGAACTCACACCTCCGAATGCTTCGAATGCAGAGTACCGTAGTTCAAACATCTTCTCTATAAACCCGCCTGAACACGTAGTATGATAATGCACGACATTTACTGATGCTTTCCTCAAGGCATATAGCGTGAGCTCCATGAAGTCCATGATGAAATGTTGTCTCTCCCCGGCATATCGGGCATGGCGTCCATCTTATCCTGCGCTATCCGACCCTCAGTGCGTCGCCTCTCACATCCCCAACATGAATGGAGAGAGACTGGAGAACAAGAAGGCTAACCCGCCTGCTTGGCTCCTTACAACTCCTTTGACCCTTGCCCCTTGTAGTCTCCAATGACAGACTCGAGACGGCCTGATAGCAAACGGTGGCGCTTGACAATGTCGATCCACTCGGACTGTTTGGTGACTCCTTGGTTGTTTTCCCCAAACCTAGCAAGTAACATGCCGAAGTCACCCCCAAGCCTGCCTAAGCTGCCTGAGCAATACAAGACCTGGGTCAGGATGCTGTCTCGAGCAGCTTGGTCTTTGATGACTGGAAGATATGCTGCCAAAGTCTCCAGAAGCATCTCGACAAGATGCGAAGGAAAAGTTGCCAGTGTCGGTGGCAGGGGTTGAAATGGATCTTCCGAGTCGTTGCCTGGCCCGTCCGGCAGACTCGTGGCGTTTGGGAAGATGCTCTTGAACATGGAAACGACGCCAAAGCTTTGCTCGCGAAAAATCTCGACGTAGCGCTTGAGATACTTCTCCGTCTGCTGGCCCCCAGACCAGGACTGTAAACTGGAGCCTTGCTGCCTATGCCTCTCTTCGTCGGCAAGCTCCCGCAGGGGTTGCAAAGCACCGAGGGTGGCGTCTAAGGTAGCCACACGGCAACAGAGAAATAGCAATGAAAGTGCGTTCTCCTGAGAATCACGACTGGCGGAACTCATGGGAGAAATGTCTGGGAGAACTCTTCTCAACCAGCTGACTGTCCGCAAAGAGGCAGCTAGCTTGAGCCCGGGGGACTTGAGGGCCGTGATCAGGTCGGCCGCCATCTTGACTATGGCTTCATCGGCTTGTTCAGAAACCAGATCCACCAAGGGGGAGTCTGGATACAAGGCGTGAAGTCTTCGAATATGAGCGTTTAAATCCAGAGCGGACGCGTAATTGGCTGGGACAGTGCTGATGGCCGAAGACAGCAGGGTGGGAAGTTCCAGAACATCGACCAGTCGCTCCTCATTGTGGAGCAACAGCAGGGCGCGCTTTCTCTCGACCAAATCTTCATTATCACTGGACTTGCTGTATGTGGATGAGAAGCGCAAAGCCTCTGAGTCGAGCTTAGGGATTGCATTGCGTAGGTCAGCCGTGTCAGCGACAAGAGTAGGCAGAGCGCGGGCTAGACCGGCGTGGTGCGAGGCCGAATCGATGACAGATCTGTGAGAGCGTTTGGAGACTCCTTGGAGAGAAAGAAGAAGCGACTGAGATGACTGAGCGAGTGATTGAGGCTCTGTGGAAACCAACGCTGCCGGACTCTGTTCAGCGAGATGTGTCAAATATTCAAGTTTAGCCGTCCTTGGGGTTGGGTTTGGATCAGTCCCTTGGGTCTGCCGCAGATCGAGCAGATCGAGGAGAAGATCGGCCATGGTCCAACCGTCAACGATGATAACATGTGGCTGTTTCCATCGAGATAATGCAAGCCCGTAAGATTGCACAGGATGTGGTGAGGGTAAGGGGGGTGAATAACGTGATGTCGACGGCAGCAGTGTAGTAGTTAGGCGTGGGGATACCTGTAGGTAGGTGCTTGGTGGGTGATACCTCAGGTAGGCAAAGCATACAACTAAGGTAATCATCAGAAGCCTACTCAGGACTCGTTATATGTAATTAGTGCCTACGGATACGTAGATACTCAGAATATCAAAATAACGAGTTCGACACATATGCAGCGTTTGTAAGTACCCACTTTGGTGCAACACCAAATGCATCTGTCGGCTGCACGCATACCAGCGTGGTGGGATGGAGAACGAGAGTGTTACCCGCCGACCTGCACTATGTGCTAGGATAGCTGTGTGATAGCACCACGGGGTTGATAACAACCCACGTGGTCGTTCTTCTGATCACCGCACTCATGAAGTACCTAGCTCAGGCTCTAGAGACGCTTTCTTCGCGCCAGGCCAGCTGATGTCGCTGCTGATGGATGATCAGATATCACGGGCCGAGTAGTACATGAACCTGCAACATGTCACTAAGTAGGTACCTGGGGGGGCGGCTGTACCTTAGCATATCAAGTTTGAGGCGCCTGAAAAATGCGCCTCCTGGCGCACGTCTCCCACAGCTCGAGAAGCACAGAGGTTGCGAAGTACTAGCAGAACTTTTGTCATTCAGTACGTCCCGCAAGGATTTGCACTAACTATTGAAGAGTTAACCCTCCGGCGTACAAGATAAGCAGATACTTTAGCAAGGGCCCAGCACCTGCATCGTTCCGACGTAGCGCTCCATCTGCTCAAGGGTGATCCGCCTTTTCCAGAGAAACCCCGTGTGCTAGCTAGCATCTTTACTTTTTTTCTTTTCTCTCCAAGGGTCCTCCCTCATCCAGCTTAGCTCCCCCAACAACCCGCCAAATCCTCCAGCTCCCCGCCATACCGCATCTTTCTTTAGTAGCATCAACTTCCACGCACTACCGTAGCTCACAGGACCTCAGATCAACCTCTGTCTTTCAGCCTCGTCTTTTTTGCACACCTGACAAACTCGTCGATCGACTCACCGACTGAAGGCGGCCAGCCCGAACACTCGACGTTTCTTGAAAAGCTGCTGGTATCTCTTCCGAGCACGAAATCTTCGCCCCTCTCTACATCGCCGCACGTCTTTCGGACTCTTCCCGCCATAGACAAACCGACATTCGCCCCTATAAACGTTGACGACGCCTCCAGCAGGAGCATGAGAGACCCCTTTTTCCTCGAGCCCATACCATGGCTCGTCAAGGCAACACAGCCATGGGCCGATCTTCTGTCCCTCCCATCATTGCCGCTCCACGTCCATGAGGTGCTCGCCGCTAGCTTGCTTTACTCGGTCATCTACTACCCGATATCACCCTTGGTTTCGCGCCTCATCGTCGGCCGCAAATACCTGGATCTGCCCAGGAAGAGAAGAGTGAACTGGGATGCTCACGTCGTCTCGTTCGTACAGAGTACCCTCATCAATGGATTAGCGCTTTGGGTGATGTTTGCCGACGAAGACCGCAAGAGAATGGACTGGCAGGAGCGCATCTGGGGCTACACTGGTGCAGCTGGCATGATCCAGGCTCTCGCTGCTGGATACTTCCTGTGGGATCTGGTCGTTACGAGCTGCAACATGGACGTTTTTGGCATTGGCACTCTGGCCCATGCTGTTAGTGCCCTCTTCGTCTACGCTCTTGGCTTTGTAAGTCGATCACGGTCTACAGCTGTTTCCACGCTCGTCTAACCATTACATTCAGCGACCTTTCATCAACTATTATGGCTGCGTCTTCATTCTCTGGGAGCTATCGACGCCTTTTCTCAATATCCACTGGTTTTTTGACAAGCTGGGAATGACTGGCTCTCGTGCCCAGTTATACAACGGATTGATGCTGCTCTTTACCTTCTTTTCCACGCGCCTGGTGTATGGGACTTATCAGTCGGTGAGGGTTTTCTCGGACATCTTCGCGGCCATCGATACCAACCCTGTCTTACCTGTCAGTGCCGACACTGGCGAAGTCATCACTTCGACTGTCATGAGATTTGCGACACCTACATCAACGGTACCTGCTTGGCTGGCTTTCACATACCTCATGAGCAACATTACTCTGAACAGTCTCAATTTCTACTGGTTCATTATGATGATCCGTGCAGTGCGCAAGAGATTCCAGCCGGCCAAGACAAACGAGAAGGATATGCTCAAGGAAGTATCGGCGATGAAGGCGATTTCACAGCCCACACAACCTGCAATTCGCCGACGCAAGGTATAGATACGGTGGAATGGGTAGCTAACGCCAGTCGGGTTTGCCTGGCTATGACACTTGAGGAAGGCATGCAGGCATACGGTCTAGAGAGTCGTGCGTCCGTGTAACGGTGTGCATGATTAAATCTAATGACCGGCGTACTGTACTGTCGTTTGCTGTAGTAAAGCGCGTTCTTGCTTTAGATGGGATCGAGCACGGAGTTGAGTATAAATGTACGTTTTCTCAATACTTGCGACTATCTGAAGTTCTGGACACCTGGCGACTCCTTCCTGCTTGTGGATCTCATGTTCAATCCACAGCCTCTAACCGTGCTCTCCCGCGGATTTCATGGAGTTTAGCATACGCATGCAATGTTCCCAAGGAGGTGAAAACAGTCGCTAGGGTGCAATCGGTCTGCTTGTACTGATTTCGGCAACTTATCGCTGGGGAACGACCTCATGCATGCGAGCCTTCCCACCAAGTGTGCTAGGATTGGGCATGAGAAAGCAGAGCCTGCAGGCGCAAATCACAGTTTAATGAAATGGCTCTAACATACAGGAACTTGACAATACGTCTGACAAGCCGCAAAATGGTATTAAGTACATCTATGCGAAGACGCTAGAATGACGACAGCAGACATACTTGCAGTGCACCTATGCTATGTATGGTGTGTCCAGAAAGGCAAACACAACCAGAATTTGGCACTCGCTCTGGACCAGACCAGACTGGCTATCAGGTATGTGAATGCATGTACATTTAGAAACCAAAAGGGTTGTTCGGAGCTATGCAGTCAGTCAGAATGCAAACATGGGCTTCAGCAAAGTACGTCAACTTACTTGCTTGCGAAAGGTTAGCCCGCCGTCCGGTTGGCTGGGCCATTATCTTCTTGGCATCTCCCGTAACGCCAAATCGAACCGGAGGTGGCGGCCCTGTCTTTTGTGGCTGCAACGGCTGAACAGGAGCAGCCAGCGAGCTTGCACCACCCAGACTATTGAACCCACCAAAGCCGGTCTGCTGGGGCTGGAAACCTGTTTGCTGAGAATGGAAGCCAGGAGCTCCCGTTCTCTGGGGCTCCATTGCAGGAGGCAAAAATGAGTTGATACCAGTCGCCTGGGGGTTGAATGTCTGGTTATTCCCGAATTGCCCAGGGAAACCTGTGGGCTGTGCCTGCATCGGATTGAATTGGTTTGGACGCTGAGGGTCGGCAAAAGGGCTTTGGTTGGTGGCCCCGGTCATCATCGGTTGCATGGACTGCATAAACTGCCCACCTGTTTGCTGCATGCCGGCGTTGAAGCCCATCACGCCCGGAATAGGTTGCTGCTGGGGGACAGGATACGGATTCATCTGCGACTGGGCCATCTGTTGCTGTTGCTGCATTGCGAACTGCTGCTGCAAACGTGCTTGGCTGATCTCATTCATGCTCTGACCCGGGGGCGCAACAGGCGTCTGGAAACCCGTCATCTGGGGAGCCAAGGGAGGTGGTGCAAAAGCGCTCGGCTGAGCCGACTGAGGAGCTGACAACGGCCGAGAAGGAGGCGGAGGCATCAGTATACCCTGGCTCGATGTTGCAGCAGGTGGAGTTGGTCTCTGTCGCTGCACTGGCTGCTGCGGCGGCTGCGTCGAGGTAGCGTTCGGCCGGACTGTAGCAAAGAAGGATGGAGTCGCCCCCGTTGGCTGGGGAGCTTGCGCCGGTGTCAGCGGCTGACTTGCGGTAGAGTTGTGCGCCGGAGGTTGGGCAGTCCGCTGAGGCTCCAAAGGCGTGCTTAAGAGAGATAGCTCCTGCATAGAACCGGTGAGGGCCGGCACTTGAGGAGACGGCACAGGCTGCGACACAGGCTGCTGCACAGACTGAGTAGGAGGTTGGGTAGCCGCGGGTACCGGAGGTATCGGTGATGATCCCGCGGCAGGTTCTTGTGGTTGCTTCGCAGGCTTCACGTCCCATGCGTCGTCGTCGAAACCGCTTTTTTGGCCAGGCGTAGGCCCCGGAGCCGACGACGGCGACTTTGATGAAGCATCTTCAGCCGGGCCATCCTCCTTGCGCGCGAAGGCTTTCGGATCCACGACGTCGCTTGTCTGAACAGCAGGTGCTGGCCGGCCCTTCCTTGTATTGTTACGCAAAGCGCCACCGGGTCCCGAGAAGAGACCGCCAGAGCCGCCGTCTCCTTCAGCACTAGATTTATCACCCCCTCGTACACGGCCAAACTTTTGATCAAGCGTGCGCATGACCTTGATGATGTCGCCCTCGCGAAGACCCAAGTTGCGTAGAATGGAGGCGTCCACGTCGGGAAGAACGCTCTCATCCATAGAGTCTTTGGAGAATGCCTGCGCATAACGCTCACACAGGCCTACGGCGACGTCGCACGAAAGGAAGAACTGGAACCAGTCATACTCGGGCTTCTGCGGCGGGCCAACCGATGCACCAATTCCGCCGGAGGCTGAGTCTCGTGCTGCCCCCGCTTGAGAGGCCGCTCTGGCTTTCTTGACGTTGGACAACGGCTTGTCCTCGTCTAACGAGATGCCGGTAATGCGTTCCACGTATTCAAGATCTCCCACTGACATTTTGGCTACCGGAACCGCAATCTTGACGCCGTTCATCTTGTGTAAGTTGATCTTGCCATCCTTGAGCCCAAGAAATTGCGCGTCGACACTGAAAGACTTCGATCGATCGGTCCATGTCCTGACCTTGGAAGGATCCGGCTCTGCGATGTGTTGTTAGTCTTACTGGGGACAGTTTTAGTTAGATGGGGCCCTGACATACTTGATTTTCCAGAACGGCCTTGACCGCTACCTTCGCCACGTCCGTTTTCGCGTTTACTCCGCTGCCCATAGTTATTACCATTTTCTCTTGCCATAAGACTGCTGCCTCGCTTAGGTAGAGGCATTCCTGGCCCTACCTGCTGTGAGCTGTCTCTTTGCGCCGCCTTGACAGCTTCCTTTGTCAACCGTATCTCTTCGAGGCGATTTTGCTCGACAGTCGATTTCGCAGCGTTGATTCCGGTGTTGCTGGGCGGCGGGGTAATGGAGCCTGTGATCTCAATGTAGCTGCTTGGAACGACGCCCTCTTTCCCGTTCTTGACGCGCCGGACTTGCCACCATTCCTCGCTCTTGGTGTCATCGATGATAACAACATCATCGCCAATTGCGACCGTTACTTCGTCGTCACCCTGGGCCATGAAATCATACAGAACTTGCCCTTTCTTCTGGGCTTTCCCAGCTCCAGCTAAGATGACCTCTCTCAAGCCTTCTGCCCGAACAGCTCCAGCTAGTTCGCCTAAAGCGCTGACAATCTCCTCGGCCGTATCCTTGGCACCTGCGTGAAAGTCTACACTTTTGCTTGGCCGTACAAGCTCGAGAAAGACGTGTTTCCCCTCACGAGAATAGTGCGTCATCTTGTCGGCCGTCCATTCTTGCGACGGCCCGTCCTGAGCACGCTCTGGAGCAATGAGGATGGTACCAGTTGCCAGATTGACACCGAGCGTCGTGGGCATCTTCTTGCGCTTGCCCATGACAGACACCATTTCATTGATGTTGTACATGTGGAAACCGCCGGGTGCACGGTAAGGGGGTTCCTCAACCTCCGGAGAATTGTCGTACAGATGCGTGTCTATCGATCTCTGAGACAATATGCGCGCTGGCGGAGGCGCGACTTGAGATATGGGCCGTGCTGGCAAAGCCGGACTTCTCACATGCTCCTCGTCGGAAGGCTCTGACAAAGGGGACTGTGGCGAGATCGGAGGACTCTCAGCACGGGGAGCAGGAGCGGAGCGTCCAGCAATAACTCCAGCCAATGCCGCCGCAGGATTGTTCGGTTGTGGGCTGGACGCAGAATACGCCGACTCTGGACGCTCTGAGTTGCTGTCGGGCCCAGGAGCCGGAGGCATGGAGGAGCGTGACGGCAAGGCTGGGGGCGGCGAGGGCCGAGGGGCGGCTTCTTCCGACTCGCCCATCTCGATGTAATTGGAAGGAACAAAACCATAGTCGCCGTCCAGACCAACCAAAATCCAGTCAGGGTCTGAGGTGTCGTAGACGTCGATAAGTGCATCTTCTGGGAAGGACAGTTCTTCGTCAGTTTGACGTGTATATTCATACAATGCCCGAGCCTTTGCAATAGGTTGAGCCTGCAACAACAATGTCAGCACAGCACAGAAAAGACAGGATGCCACTACCTCTTCAACGTAATTGTTTGGGATTAAACCTTCGGGCTCATCCTCATCATCAGCGCTGGCTTTCTTCTTGGCTTTCCACCAATCGTCTTCGGCATTCTTTTCTAGTATGTAAAGCACATCTCCATCACTGATGGCGAGTTCCCCTTCGGCTTGAGGCGCATAATCATATATGGCCTTACAGACCCCTGAAAAACCCATGGTGCAGGCCTGGATGGCTGAGGAAAAGCGACTAGTATGTGATGTTAAAATCGGTCGGAGTTTGTTGACAGGCGGGTAAGGCGGGAAGCATGAGGATGGGGCCAATGTGCTGTTGATCGGTTGGCAGGGCCGGCGCTGTTGTGGGAGGGTTCGCAGCTCGGTGCCGGCGACCCCGGAGATGGGGTGATTGAAACAGAGGGAGCCCGGTTGGATCGTATGCAATGTCTCCTATCGACAGAGAGGTTGTCAGTAAGTTCGCAAATACTAAACCGAGATAGGATGCTGCTGGTTCAGGAGAGACGATTAAAATTAACTCAGGTGCTGAACGACGCAGAAGCAAGATCCTCTATCGCAGCTATGTTGGATTGCCGGGAGAGAGCCAGGTTTGCTGCGAGGAGTGGAGAAGGCACGCGAAGCAGGCGAACGTAAAAACCCTTAAGGTAGCTAAGGGTATCTGGGAGGGATACAGGAGACGGGAAGATGAATATCCAGACGGGGACTCGAAGCGAAGCAACGATGCGATGATGCAGGGCTAGGCGGGTGAGGAAAGCTTACAAGTCATGAAAGAGTGTATAGAGCACCGACTCTGGATAGCGTGGTTCTATTTACTCGCGAGAGATTGTCAGCGGTGACTGGGAGTCAAGGCGGAGGTGCAGGTTGCCGGAGTTGACGATTGACGGGAGATTGTGGTATGTCGCTTGCGTTGGGCGGTGATGTAAGGAAGGCCGGGCAGGGCTGGACGTTTTGGAATCGGATCAGGCAGGGCAGCGACAGGCCGGAGAGCAAAGTAGCCCCAGAGCATGCGGGAAGTAAAATTTAGCTTACCTACCTGCAGAGGTATAGATGGCAGGAGTGGTGATGTTGGTGACAGAGGCAGCAGGCTGGTCGGCAACCGAAACCTGCCGTGATGTTGGTTGTAGTTAGTGATTACGGGATGAGATGAAGACCAACGAGACTTGGTAGGGACGGCCACCGCCACTGCCACAGCCACATGGGCGGACAGTCAAGTCATCAGAGGCCTAACCTGGGGGCTGGGATTCAGGCACCTCCCCCTTGTTTGCTTGTTTGACCGCGCTACCTACCTACCTTACCTTACCTAGGTGCCTTACCACGTTACCCATTCTTTACCTTCTGTCACCTTGCAGGTGCGTACTTACGTAGGTATCTTGTGGGTAGGTACATATCCGGGGGTAAGTCAGGTAGGTACTTTACTGCGGTACAGATGTCCTGCATGGGCACGTACCTGAGGTAGGTAAGGTGCTTTTTTTCAGTGGTGGTGGGCAGGGGGGCCGCATGTAGGTATTATGGCACTGCGGGGCCTCCTTGGCAGGGTGCTTGAAGAAATGACAGCAACAGACCGGAATCAAGGTTTATCGTTTCCGTTTCCGCTGCTCTACCCTACTGGTGCACCTATTCCATACTTGTGCCTAGAGAAGAAACTCGCGCTCGTCTCCGTCTTCATTACCTATTCCTTCCACGATCGGGGTCGGTTTTCTCCGTGGTCTGCATGCTCAATCAATACCATTTTTGGTATGCCAAATGGCCTGACCAACCATCGCGTCGCATTACCAAATATGCCACACTGCGAGGGGTAACAGAAACGGAACCTCATCATGCTGGCACCGTCACTTTGGAGGGTAATCCATGTGCTATTTCATGCCTTACAGATGCTCAACGTTCAGACCAGTGTTCCTCCTGTCAACTCACAGTACGGCCTGCTTCCTTTTCCATGTCCATCATTTTGCTGTGCTCATTGTGAGCGATCTCAAGGCCTCGTCCGTCAGCGCGCGACGGACCGCCTATGACGAGTGCCTGTCTTCGATGGTCTGGCTGCTGCCGCCCCCCTGTCCTCGGCTGACGACACCAGGGAACATTTTGGGATCCTGGCTTAAATTGTGGGCATCTACTGCCCATGGTGCTTCTTTGGATGAAGGCAGGCTGGCAGGTGAACCGACTACATCATCCCGAAAGACCGCCCTAGTGCTTGACGCGTCTAATTCAGACTTCTCGCCACCCGCGACTACAGAAGCGTTTCCGAGTCCTCCGCTGTGGTGTTCGCGCGGAGCCCCGTGCTGACCGGCTATGATGGCCTGAGCAGTACTTTGCTTGTCGGCGCTTGTCATTGAATCCGAAGACGCCCTGGCGCCGTACGCAATATATTTGCGAAGCCTGACGCCTTTGTTAGTCTCAATGCCACTTTTCGTAACGTAAGGGCCGCACTTACATGTCACGCTCTTCTATGAGCGTCTGAAATCTGAACTCCTCTCGGCGGTCCGGGACGTTCGTCTTCACCATGGTGTTGCCTGCCTTGCCGGGTAAGCTGTAGTTAGGTCCCAACCATTGCTCCTTGATTGCGTTCTCGAACCCGCTCTGCTTGACTGAGTTCTTTGCCAGCTCGCACATGTCCACGGAGCCCAACTTGTAGATTTGGGCGGCCACTGCGTATTCCTCCATCAACGGCTCTTTGGTGAAGGCAAACTGCAGAGGGTCGTCTGTGGACAGGGAGACATTTAGACCCCTGCGGAAGTATTGATAGAAAGGGTTTCTCTCGTAAGCAAGAAACAGGGCGTTGTTGCTTAGAGGCGACATGGCAATACCTATTTGCTCCAAGTAGAAGATGTACTGCAGAAGAGGGACTTTGCGCAGTAACAGTCCGTGGCTAATGCTGTGGCAGCAAAGCAAGGCAACGGCAAGATGTTCGCTATCCCCTGCCTCACCGCAGTGTGGACGGAGCGCAAATGTGTTGAAGCCACGACGCTGTCGGAGGATATTGAGCGAGGCCATATTGGAGAACAAGTAGTAGATCCAATAGCTGTATGGCGGGTTCTGTTTTGAGTCCCATACCTTCGGCACTGGGAACTTCTTGAACAGACGCCTCTCAACCTTGCTCTCATCATCGACGCTATCAAAGCCAATCACTCTCTGCAGGAAGATGTGCAGCTTTGGGTGACTTGATGGGTCCTTGGACACCTCGAACAGAGGTTCGAATACGTTCTTCACAACTTGCTCAAATGTGTCCATGAGTCCGCTTGCCTTATAAACATCATACAGACGAGGAATTTGAATGAGCCATCGAACATTGTGAGAAAAGAGCTTGTTGTCGACGACCCAGGCCGCTAATTTGTCCCACTCGTCGAGTGACTTGCCATAGATGGAAATGCGCCATTCGACCATCTGGTATTTGCTTGACTCCAGGTCAGCAATTACCTCCTTGGTGATCTCGGCCAAATAGCGTCCGTTGATGAAATTGTCTGTCTTCAAAAAGATTGTTCGGAGCCTGGACTCGCCAATTGGGTTGTACTTCAAGTTGAATTTGTCGAAGCGGTGGAAGGAATCCGTATGTGCGTGCATGTCCAAGGTATCGATGGACAGATCGTAAGCAGTAAGATTAATGCTCTGGAACACCTCTGCCAAGGTAAGATGCCGACCGTCGCGGAAGAGCACTACCTCATCCGGGCATTTTTTCATCTTGCTTTTGATGAAACGCAGAAGGTGTTTTTGGTTCATACACGCAGAGTGATGAACGTGTGTGTCGACCTTACGCACGTTGTAAAAGTCTCTGTGGGGCACTTTCTTGCTGTCCGCGGTCTCTTGGTACTCGTTGAGAAGCGCATACAGGTTGAATTTGCCTTCAAGATATTGCAGCCGACGAAATGCGAAACTCTTACTAGGACCATCCGAGGAAATACTCAAGATCTGATCAAGATCCATGTAGAATTCGCGAATAGTAGGGACACGAACGAGAGGGGCACCACTCGCCTGAGCATCCTCACTGTCGAAGACCTGGTAGACACCACTGTCATCCAGCTTGAATGTCATTGTGTCAACTGCGGGCAGTGGCAGAAGATCATTCATATCGAAATCCTCCCCAATATCTTGGCCCGGCTTTCTTTTCTTTATCGTCCGTTTTGGCTCCAGTTCCGGACCTGCCGCTGTCGACGACATGACCATACTTCCGGTTAGACTATTAGCAGAGCTGTTCATTGCGTCTGTTGATCCAGCTGCTCGTGCATGTTCAGCGCCCCAGGCTGGCTGTGGAGGTGGGGGATAGATCGCCCAAGATGCGTCGTCTTTGGGATTATCATCGGGGCCTTGGAGGGACAGTCCGATGTACCTCTTTCGAAGGTGCACAATACTTTGGATGTTCTTGGAGATAGAGCTGAGCTCAGCCGTGATATGAGGGTCTGTATCTGAGAATGCAGCAACACCAAGAGCTGCAGACTGGCTGGACATCGTCGGGTTTGCGTCAGACAGGTGACTCGTACTCACTTGAGCTCCTTCTTGCGCGATATCATGCATATCGTTCTGGAAGGGGTTATTTCGAGGAGGGGGGGCCTCCTCTCCGCCGACCGATTGCCCAGGCGGCTGTGAAGGGTCCGGCAGCATCAAGTCTTCGCGAGCCGAGGTTTTCCCCCTCAACTGCCCTTTCTCTTGGCCTAATGGCGAAGAGTCCATAGCTTGATCGATGCCTCTTGTGCCCGCGCTCGCGCCCGCGGAAACATCACGAGGGTCTGAACCCACAATTACAGGGCTCCCATGGGGCGTGGAGTGACCTTGCGACCACACACCACTGCCGGTCCGTAATTGGCCAACCTGGCTCCTCTGATAGAATAACTTGGCATCTGCTTGGCTCATCTGGCGTTCAGCAACAGGGTCGTAGAAAGCGGTGCGAGTGGGAAGGTCACGAGGAAGCATTCCGTCTTGCAGACGTGACTCATCATGACTCTTATCGTTGTGGGCAGGGCGGGTGTTCACTGATGATGCGTCGCCTTTGGTTTGCTCCTCTGAGCTTTCGGAGCCCGTGTCACCTCGGGAATCATGGGCGCCTAGATCACCCTCGGAATCCGTGTCCAGGTCATGAAGCGAGAATGTGTTGCCTCGCTTGGGTGAAGTCGAGGCAGAGGTTGGGTCTAGGGAGGAATCTTCGGTGTCTGGTCGTGTGTGATGTCAGTAAAGAAAGGCCGGCGTGGATGACTCGGGGGATGGAGGGGTGTCGATTG